CGACATCCACAGTGGGCCTTTCCACTATCCATGCTCAAAACTGCTAATTCCAATCAGTGAACTAACTTACTACCACACACTCTTAATCCCAGTATCACACACCCTAGATCCAGACTGTTCTGGAAGCCGCACCTAAGTATTTGATGCTTTAGCAGGATATCTAGATACAAGCCATAGCACTACCTTATGTCCCTCTGCCACTCAACAAGAGACTGTAGTACAGTACTGTACAGCACACTAAGGTAAGTGAATAAGGCTGCTCAGGGCAGGGTCTCCCACCACCCTACATCCTGACCAGTGCCCTAGAGGCTGGAAGAATCAGTATGAGGACACTGAAAACGACACCACTTCTGGCATGCCAGGGATATTTTCTGTTGAAAAGCATGTCAAAGAATGTTAAGCAATGACCCTGTGATCTAGTTAGGTGAATACAATTTTATTGGTTTATAGCTATGTGTTTCCCATACATGAACCAGTTATCCTTCATGCTACAACTGTCCAGCTGAGCAATTGAGCTAAGACCATATAATTTGAAAAGTTGAAAACATTTAGCATTTAGTTCTTTACAAAATACTTGTTAATCTTGTTAATACTTGTTAGACACACCAACTAATGTGGAAAAAAAGTCAGCAAGTCACCTACAATGCCCATTTTTGGAGCATCCAACACAGTCTGCCTAACAATCTTCATCATTCTGGGTATCTGCCTCTGGAGCTAGTTTAAGTTCCCTGAGAGCAAAGAATACTTTTTTTCTTTTTTAAAAAATAATCTATTGTTGACCTCATACCCTTAGCACCTAAGCACAGGTCTGGCATGCTGTGAGCACTCCATACATACATATTTCTTGGCTGAATCACAGAAGCGAATGTAAAATAATCTGCCATGTAAGGAAAAAAAGCAAGCTTTCTTTCAGGATGTTCTGGCCAGAAGAGTAACATTTTTAAAAAGCATGCCAGAGAGGGGGATGTAACACAATGGCAAAATGCTAGCATAGCGTGTGCCAGGCCCTGGATTCAATTCCCAGGACCAGGTGTGGAGGTAAGGTGAACTCAAAACAAAAAATAGCATGCCAAGAAAGTGACCGGTGTTCCACACTAGGCAGGGTATGAACTTTACTGACAGTAATACTTCCCAAGCCTCTGGAGGAAGATGTGTCCACACAGTCTCTGTTGGAAGAAAATGGAAATAAAGTCGAATTCTCAAAAGTGGCTGAGGCAGTGTGGCTGTGCCAAGCTGCGTGGTGCCCATGAATGTGGGGCCTCCTACAAAAGAACACTCGTCCCTGACTCCTGGTGTGGCGCCTTTGCAGACTCAGGCAGGGCTCACCCACCGTGTCCTCAGTCCCCTCTCAGTTTAAATACATCATTTAGGAGTCCATTAGTCCACTGAGGGTGAGCCTTGTTCCAGAAACAAACTTTTAAGGAAGGAAATGCAGGAAGATAGATGGGCAAGCCTGGCGATATCGCCTTGCCACAGCCCCTCTTTATGTCTCTTTGGTGAAAGAAGATGACAGAGTCCACTAAAACAATAACTTGGAGAAGTAGAAATAGTGCCTAGTGCAGGGCTGGCCCAGCATGTTATATAACAGATCAAACCCCAATTCATTTTATCTGGAAGTGACACCTGATTTGTCACTCTCCTCATCAAATCTAAGAGAAATTTAAAAACACATGGGCAGAAGGCCGGCAAGATAACTGAATGGACTAAGAGCCTGCTTAGGCAAGCGCAGGGATCAGAGTTCAATCAGTGGCACCATGTGTGGTCCTGACTCTGGGCACACTGAGCCGACCACCCCAGCACTGGGAAGCTGAAAACAGAAGGATCACTATGAGTCCCAGCTGTGTAGTGAGACCTTGTACCAAATACAAAAAAAAAAAAAAAAAAAAAAAAAGCAAAACATGGGTGAGAATGCAAACATATTAGTTTCCATAATTGCTGAGATAATATTAGTGAGTTTGATAGTACAAGAAGTCATTAACACTAGTCAAGAGGCAAGTGTTCTGGATAGGTTTTAATTTGACATTCAAATTTTTAATCCACAATACTGAGGAGATGCAAAATACTGGGGCACAGTAATAAAAGCTGTAATCACAGGACCTGAGTTTCATTATAATCTGCTAACTAATACAGCCATGCCCAATAAGGGCAGGTCAGTGAGAACAGGATTCTCGTCCCGTTGGGGCCTGTGTTAAGCATCCAGGAATGCCTTGAACACCAGGGAAAGGAAAATGCCAAGGACCCCATTAGAATACTAGCTCCCCTGTAAATGTTTCCATTCCAGAAAAATGCTGGCAGTCAACTTTGTGCCAGCATTTGATCTCTTCTACAGCCATGGAAACCACTGCAGTAATCCGGACTTCAAAAACCTTGTCCTTACAGGGGAGAGAAATGGCAAAGGAAAAGCTCTTATTTTTATCCACACAAATTAGGTGGTATGTGGAACACATTTCTTACCAAAAGACCCAGAATAAGAGGAGGATGGCTGCCACCCACTAGGTCAAATGAGAATGCAACCTTTTCAAATTCACAGACCCTTGGCACGGCATCACTTCTGTTTTTCTCATCTTTTTAACAGAAAGAATCATAGTCATTCTAATATAAAAATATAAAAAATGATTTTGGATATAGTAATAGTGCCTACTGGAGCAAGTCTTGCCAAATTTTTCTTCTTAGGTAAGTGAAATATTTAATGCTGAGAGGATAGCCTGATTTAGTAACTTGCTCTGTACTAATTATCAGGAACGTCATCCACCCGTACAGTAGGAAAAAAATAATTGCTGTCAGTTGGCAGTGGTGAGCTTTAGGACCCATCAGTCGTGCTGTCCCCGAAGAAGGCACCTCGGCATTTGAAAAAACAGCAGAGGCAGGAAGGTCTCTCTGGCCTTCCTGGCCCTTCCTCCAGGGGAAGAACTGTGTAACCTCTTGAAGCAGGACTCAAGATCTTCACATGGGAAGGGGCCTCCCACTACCTGGAGGAAAGGGGTGTCCTCAACTCAGAAGATGCAGCGATGCAGGAAAGAATCTGAGGAAGCGGGCCTTGCCTAGGCGCCACGGCTTACCACAGGGGGAAATCACAGCCTGTTGGTTCTGTGACAGCCAAAGTCCCCATTAAACCTGCAGGACAAATGCACAGGGTGGCCTTCTTATCAGATCTGTTTCCTTTTATTGTTTTCATGCCATGAAAAACTCATTTTAAATGAATGTGTGTACAATTCTCTTGTTAATTTGTCTTTTTCTATAAGGGTCTTACCCTGGAACCTACAATGAGTGAGGAAAATTTATTATTTTCCTTCACACCAATGTGTTTTATGGGCTCGTATTCTTTGATCTATATTACCAATTCTAGAAAAGCACTGTAAGAACATAATTCAGTACAGACAACACTCACATTATTTAAACAACTCATTACTGCGTGTCTTAGAACAAGAGAAACTGGAGCAGACTACATGCTTGATGGGACTGAACTGAGAAGGGGCTGGGTAACTGTACCTTTACCAACCAAGTGAAATATCACCCAGGCATTACATTTTAAAATGATGTATGCCATTAACTATTTCTATTAATCTGAGCAGCACATCTGACTATAAAATTAGATAATGTAGCAATCATTGTTAGCTAACTATTCTTGCTTTGAAAATCTGTAATATATGTATTGCTGTAGATGGTTTTATTTCTGTCTTTGATTCTGCTATTTGTTTTTGCTTTTACCTTTACACTTAAAAATAAAATAAAGAGAATTAATGAAGATTGATTTTATCATGCACAAATATAAATTCCCATTAATGAACAGGGTCATTGTGTATACCTAAATTGTACCAATGAACTAAAATTTAAAAGAAAAAAAATGATGTATGCCGTATATCACTCTGCTGACATTTTATAAAGTGTAAAGTAGAGCATACTGTAGCTTCAAAGGGAGAATGTCAAAAATTTTCTGACTAGTACGCAGGAAAGCAAATGAATGAGGCATCCCAAGGGTGCCTTGTATTCCAACTGCTGGGGTTTCTGTGGTGTCCCCACAAGCTCTTCTCAGCCCTCACCCCTTTTTCTGCTGTGCTCTTTTCCCTGAGCACTACACTAGGTGCTTCCGTCTGTTCCTGATTCTCAACACACACTACGCTGTTCTAGACTTGGCTTTATTCTTAGCCCTTTCACAAAATCAGCTATTACCCCTGAAAGAAATTGCTTTGGCTTCCTTTTCCCTTGCTGTCATTTCCTTGCCTGCTTTGTTTTTCTTCCCAGACAGACTGCAGTTCCACAGAAAGCTTGTTGTTGGCACGTGGAATTATTAATAAGTATATGATTTGGAATGAGTTAATCAATGAACACAAACTCTTGAGAGCAAAACCAGTTCTGTTTGGTCTTTCCAAATGCAGTATAAATCACAGTGCTCAGCAAACAGTAGATTATCAACAATTTCTCACTAAAACATATATATATATATATATATATATATATAGTACATATATTATATTATACATATATTATTCTGCACATTTTTATTCTACATCCCATTTCCATTTCTATGAAGCATCAGATATAAATTTTCTTTTTATTAAATGTCTTTATAAAGTTTATTTATTTGACACAGGGTCTCACTACACAGTTCAGACTTATAGTGATCCTCCTGTCTCAACACTGGGATTACAGACATATACCACCACACCCAGTTTTGGGGCTGACACAGTACACTGAGGATTTTAAATCCCAGTGCAGTATGTTGTATGGGGGGATCAAACTCGGGTCCTTGAACTTACCAGGCAGGCACCTAGACTACTGAGTTATCTCCCCAGCCCTCATATTTTTTTTGAGACAGGGTCTTGCTATGTCGTTCAGGTTGCCTCCAGCTCACTATGTAGCCCAAGCTAGCCTTGAACTCATGGTAGCCTTGAATTCCTGACTCAGCTTCCTCAGAGTGGGGATTATAGCTGTGCACTATTATACCTGGATGAGATATGGATATTTTTCTAAACAGAATGTCACCTGTGAAGAGAACTTACCCAGGTCAAACTGGCCAGAAACGTAGCCACAAGTCTGCCGAACCTCCTCACTGTCCCAGCCCAGGGGGTAGAGGGCACAGCCTGCACCAATCAGTAAGCCTGCAAAACATGAGAGGAGGGCTTAGTAGTGTGCCTTAGCATCCCTGGACAAAAGGTGATGAGAGAACCAGTACTTCACACTGTAACAAAGCTGCTGTGCCTGTGTTTTGAAAGCACCAGCCTAAGCAACCTAAGGTTACTTCGATTCTAGGGACAATATCAAACCCTTTTCAAAGAAGAAGAATAAAGAGGACAGTTCAATTTGCTTCCGACTTTGACTTATAAAAGCATTAAAAGCCTGGTGAATCCTGCTTAGGAAATATGGTCCACAAACTCGAAATCACTCGGCTTGTGTTTTATCATTCATTCTATTTTTGTTTACAAGTTAAGAATCAAAACAGAGGGGGCCCAGCCCTAGCTCAGTTCTTTAAGTGGCTGCTTCCACAATGCTGGCAGCCTCAGTTTGCTGTAGTTCGATCCCCACAACACTCCAGCCATGCAAAAGTGCCCTGAAGGCATTCAAGGAGAAAAAAAAAATTCCTTATAAAAGGGCTGGTGAGATGGCTCAGTGGTCTAAAGCACCTACTTAGAACAAGCTTAGCAAAGCACAAGGACCGCAGTTCAATCCCCCAGCACCACATGCCAGCCAGTCCCGCCCCCTGGTGGTCTGAGCTGGCCACACACACACACACACACACACACACAAATAAATAAAAATTTAAAAAAAAAAAGAATCAAAACAGAGTATTTCTGTACTATCAAATTGTACCAGGGACAGAAGGAGCACAAAGATTCTCCTGAACCACTGGAGCAGGCTGGTCCAGGCTGTGCACTGTGCCCCCTGGCCTGCGCCTGGCTGGGAACCACAGAACATCCTCACCTCTCAGGAACACTCTGGAAAACAAGCCACACTCATCTACATCTTCCTGCAGCCAAAACCAAAGGGTTTGAGCACTACATGGAAGGAAGGAACGGCTTCACTGTACTACAAATTAAGTTATTATCGTGGCAGCACACTGTGCTGACAGCTTTGGATTAGCCAGTCTGCTTTCGTGTCAAAGCCTAATACGGTTTTACAAGAAGCTAAAAGGGAGTTAAACCCTCAGTATTTGAATTCACGGGCTAATCTGAAAGTAAGATCTTGTTATGTCAATCAGCAAGCATTTCCATCACTCTAGTGCACAAATGTGCTGAGGCAACCGGACCAAGGCGTGCAGTGTGCGTGAAGGGCGAGAGTGGGGGCCGTCAGGTGCTCCTGAGGAGACTCCTAAGTGGGAAGCCTATTAACATGGTAAGGCGGAGACGGGAAGCCAGGGCTCCAAATGTACCTAGAATACTTCAATTCGTGCACCGAGCCCCTGCTAGGCTCCCTTTTGTCCCAATCCCTAGCCCCAGTGAGGGCTTAAAGCACAAATATTTTATTTTTTCTTCCCAGGCATCCAAGGTCAAGTTGCTTTCTACCACCTCCTTGACATCTTTAAGGTATGTAGCTCCCTAAGGAGAGATAACTGCTTCTGTCCAATGCTCATTTCTTGTCACTCCTCCCCTCAGTCTGTCCCTTGGATTTGCAAGATAATAACCATTGAATAGCAAGCAGTCTCAGTCTAAGGTAGAGCCCAGACTCACTGAAACTACAGGCCGCTAATCTCAGGATATCCTCTATGCAATTATATGAATATGAATTGTTGTGAAGCTGAAGAATAATCTAGGGAACGGAGCTACGAGATTTTGCTAAGTAGACAAAAACCCTAGCGGCCATTTTTCCCTATGGTCAGAATCCATAGCACTCTGAAGACAGTTCCAATCTAGTTTTATCCATTATCAGGTGAAGAGATAATTCCTGAGTATGTCACACATTGTATACATAAGTTTCATGAACGCTTAACAGACAATGTGGTATCATTTCCAAGACATTCAGATCTTAAGAGGGAATACCCATATTTTTGTGATTTTTATGAGCAAATTGTTTTAAGAATGGCAAATGCAGAATGTATGTGGGCAGAAAGTAGTTAAGTGTAGAAAAAAAAAAAGAAAAATAGTAACATTTAAACCATAGCAGTTTTCTTTCTTTCTTTCTTTCTTTTTTTTTTTTTTTTTTTTTGACAGAAAAACAAATGGTTATCTCATTTACTAATTTTTTTTTTTAGTATGGCTGAAAAGAGGGTGTCATTAAGTCACAAAAACACTTCCCTTGGGGCCAAGGAGATAGCTCAGTGGCAGAAGTGCCTGCCTGGCAAGCCCAAGGTCCTGAGTCCAACCCCTGGTACCAAAAACAAAACAAAATACTTCCCTTGGTCCTCTTTATGGTAGGGGCTTATCAACACCCAATGTCTACATAGGTAGCAAACCAGCCAGTGGTTTTCTAAGCGGAGTCTTTGGACTGTCTTTGTAATACTGTGAAATGTAGATTCAACCATATAAGTCAGGGATGAATTTGTAGACAGGAAATATGTGTTATGTGTGTAAGTTAAAATGCCACGATCATACGTTCACATTTTTAAAAGTGTATTTAGTGGCAGGCAAGAAGTTCGTCTGCATTTTCCTATTCATGTCTATTTAGCCTTTGCTTCATCATCTGCTGCTGCTTGCTAATAGGGAAGAAGCTACAGGCACAAAAAGCTCCGAGAAAGATTTCCAGGAAAAAAGCACACATTGCACAGCCATCATCAGGCTAATGGGCTGTCAAAATTATTAGGATCTGCAGGTAAACGTCGCTGTTAGCTTCCTACCACTATTGATTACTAGGGACACAGAGAGATTCAGACTCACTTTTTCCAAATATGCAACAAATGTTTACTAGCAATGAGCAGGATCGGACCCCCTCCAACTCCTCCAGAGACTTACAGCAACAAGCATTTTAAGTGACAGTCTCAGCACAGAATAAACAAAACAAGTATCAGATGGAAGGCTTAGCGGATCTTCACATCAGAGTTGTAAGAATATTTTCCATTAAGTGACAGGGAAGGTTGCAGAGGGGAAAAGGGTTCTCACAGCACTATCAGCAGTGTCACAGCTACATGCCAGCATTTAAATTAGTTAAGTAAAATGAAATAAAACTCAGAAACTCTATTCCTTAGTTGTTCTGGCTACTTTTAAATATTCAAAAGCTATACAGCACTAGTGGCTCCCATTTTTAACAAGCACAAATACAGATCATGTTCATAATCACAGGAAGTTCTAGTGGAGAGGGTAGTTGTACATCTAAGACACTTCAAAAGGACACTAGGCTTGTCAGATTTGTCCTCTGTGGCTGACACTGCTCATTAATAATCAAAATCACCCCTGCTGTTTTGGAATCTTCTTTTCTAAATAGGAATAGAAGTCAGGAAGCTATATTGTCTAAACTCTCCTGCTAGCAGTTTTTCATCATACTATGTCTTTTTTTTTTTTTTTTTTTTTTTTTTTTTTTTTTTTTTTTTTGTGGAACTGGGGATTGAACTCAGGCCCTTGTGCTTGCCAGGGAAGCGATTTTTCCACTGAGCCATCTCCCCGGCCCCCCATACTAGGTCAATGAGAAGACTTGAGCGCCATTCAGAAAGAGAGGGCTGAAGCATTATTTGTCCCTGGCACCTGCAGTCATGGGCAAGCCTTTCTGCAGACAGCAGACACTTGGGGAGCACCTGGGAGTGGCCTCCTCCTCTCTTCATTCCCCCACTGAGCATACACCATCAGTTTCTCTTTATCCTTCCACTTCTGGCTTCCTGAATTTTTCAAAATATTCTTTCCAATCTTCACTTCCTACATCTTCTAGTAGGTATGTAAAACTGTAAGTCCCTGGGCTACAAGTTTGTCTTATTGGTCAGACTCCGACTGGTACCTGCCCTATGCATACAAGGGCGGAGAGCTCCCTATACACATCTTTATCTTGAACCTTCTCCATGTCCTCAATTAAAATTCTCTCCAATACAATTTATGCTGATTGTTGAACCTTTGGGGCAAGTATAAATAGTGATATTGGAAGGTTTTGCCTTTAACCATCTCTGTCGTCAGGTGCCTCATTAGGGAATTTAATGTGCTAATTAACTTCTCCGGAGCACACACTTCTAAAGAAGACACTTCAAATGTTAACTGCCATTGGGATGTGGATTGAAGTTAACTAGCATTTTATGGAATACACTGATAATACCACATTGTAAAGTAGAGATGATTAAATGTTAAAGGAGGATAATTTTTAATAAAATAACTGTAAAATAGTTGCTTAGTTTTAGCAGTGTTAAACTTTAGTCCTTGTTGTGCAAACCAATATATAATGGAAGGACAGTTTAGAAATCTCTGAGATTCCACTTGGGTTCATACTGAATGCTGAAGTGAGGCTCAACGAACACTCTGGAATGTGAAGTGATTGCTCAAATGGGATCCGACTGATTGACAGGTTTTAGTGGTTCTCATTGCTTAAGACTGGAAAATAAACGGCCCAACTAGAATCTCTCACTCACAGAATCTCTTGCTTCCAAATTTTAGTATTATTTACCAAAAAACCCTACTGATTTATTGGCCTCGTGGTTACCATGGGGGTGACAGGTTCTGCCCTAGTATGAATTGCTAAATCATTATGGTGGTCATCTAATATGGCTGATGCCCTTAAAACAAAAGCCCATCTTCTCAAGACCACCTCCCCCTTCTTCTCCAAGTCAGCCCAGGATACAGTTTCCTTCCACCCTTCCTGCCGGTTCCTAAACATCCCTTCAAACTCCACCCCCGACAAAACACCATAAAAGCCTCAACCTCCTTTGTTCCAAATGAGAGAATTCTTAACTTCCCCAAATTCTGCGTCCTCAAAGAAAATAAAGCCCCTTTCCCTTTTTTCTCTTGCCTGTTTCTCTGCTGCACGATTACCTGAAAAAACCTACCAGTGGGCTTTATTTTAACCAAGTTTCTTTGTCACTGCCATGAAAAAAATCCACATTATCCCACTTTTCGAGTCCAGGTGTATACAGCAGGGGAAGTGAAGAAAGGTGCTGTGAGTAGAAGAGGCCACTGAGGAAGACACCAACAGGGAGCTGCTGGGGGAGGTGGGAGATCTTCTGCAGCATCAGGCTCACTTGCAATTAAGAAGCAAT